TATTTTGTTTCAAAATATTTTTACCGATACAGAATTTACATGCAGTACAATGCAAAGTCTGAAGAATTCTTACATATGTGTCACCTATGTAACCACTGCCCAGATGAAGATATAGAACCTTTCCATTACCCCATTTAATTCTGGCCAGCCGCTTTCCAGTTACCAACCAACCTCCGGGTGTAACCGCTATCATGACTTCTAATCAGCAGAGATCAGTTTTGCCTATTCTTGAGCTTTCTATAAATGGAAAAGTCTCTGCATCATAGAAATCAAGATTTAAATAAATTATTAGTGGTTACCACATGGTGGGAATTTGAAGTTTTAAATGTATTCCATTAGCAACCACACACACCCACAGCCACCCTCCCCCCATCCACACACATACACAGACACACATAGCTATTATACTAAAGACAAAAAAAATCATTTTTCTCATATGATGCTGAGATGTTTGTCCTGTTCCCAGAGTTGTCTGCTCCTGGAGACTCTCCGGTGTCACTCTTGGCATCTTGTGTCATTTAGCTCAATGTCATGATGCTCAAGGCTCATGCCCGTATCCAGCTCCAGAAAAGCAACAGGGTCCCTCTGTGTCTCCTTCTCTCTCTCCACCCTTACTCCCAGAGGACTGCACCTGGGCCCAGGCAGACACCTTTGGTTGGGGGAGGGGGAGGAAAGCTTTACGGGAGCCAAGTTCCTATGTAAACAGGGCAAGCATGTTATAGCTTGACTTGAGCAGAGAAAGAAGCACAATAATTTGGACTGTGCACATTCCTTTAAGCCTTCCAATATAGTAAGGTACAAGGTATTATTTTGGTCCAATTTGTCTAGGATCTGTGTTGTATAAAAGAGAAGATACAGTGTCAGGATCCAAAGGAGTCACCCCGTTTATTGTTTGTCGCAATCTCTTTGTGGTCTCTCGCTGAGTTTTTACGTATTCCCAGAAATCCACCCTGGAACCTGTTTTCCTCTCCCCCACCTTGTTGTCCCTGGGGAGTTTCATCATCATCCGCTGCGGCTTCAGCCATCATGTCTATGGATGTGACTCCCACACATGTTTATTTCAACCCAACCTTAGACTGAGCCTTTGACCTTAGTCCACCCTTCCTGGATATCTCCATGTGCATGTCCCACAGGCATCTATCTGCAAGTCAACCAGTCCCCAAACGGACTGAGACTCTCTTCTCCTCTAAATCTGCTTACCCTCCTAAGTCAATGCGTTGATGATGTGAGCCTCCCCATACCCTCACCTGTGCGTTCTACCTCGTCAATTCTCTCCACTTGCACTGTGCCTGCCCTAGGTCAGGGTCCACCACCCCTTGCCAGAACTTGCCTTAAAGCCTCCCTTTTCTGTTCTCCTTCACCTATTCTGCTCCTCCTGCCAGGGAGATCTTTTCTGACCCGATATCCAATCATTTCACTCTCTGATTCAAAATGCTCTGGTGACTTCCCGTTTCCACCTCTCAGCCTGGCATGCAAGCCTGTCATGATCTGGCCCCTGCGTACTTGTCACCTTCCCACTCTGCCTTCAATCTTTGAGCTTCCATAATGCTGAACTATCAGAATTCTCTGCATATGCTGTGTGCTATGCCTTTGTGCTGCTGTTCACTTTTCCTGAAAAGCCCTCTTCCTACTGTGTACCTGGGAAGAGCAGGGCAGCCTCAATGCTGTCCCCTTTGTGAAGTCTCCCCTAATTCTCTCTCTTAGGCATGGGGTCCTCAGTCCTACAGACACGGGAAATGAATTCTGCAAACAGCGTGAGTGAGTTCAAAGCAACTCCATGAGGCATGCATTTTTTTGAACTGCAATTGTCTGCATTCTCTCTCTCCTGCTCACCTGTAAGTTCCTGGGGGGTAGAGTCTCTTCTTCAGCTTTGCACAGAAATGATATTCAGTATCCTTTGTTAAATGAATGAATGAATAAATAGTGTAGCATTGTGTTGGGTAGTGTGCAAATAAGTTGAACACCACTTCTGCTGCCTTTAGACTTTTCTGTGGAAAGAATGATGATGACCAGAAAGATAAAAGACCAAGCAATAAACATCTGTTCTTTGTGAAATGCTTATTTGGGTTTTGAACACTAGATCAAGGACCTTTTAAGTGAGTGTGTGATGGGAGAGAGACTCCAGAAAATTACCTTCTCATTCTGATTAGCCTGTGGAGCCTTGACCATTGGGGCGGCTGTGACTTCGGGACCTGGGGGGGCAGGAGTGGTAGTGAGGAAGACTGCTAATAGGGTGGGGAAGGTTTTTCCAGGCTGGGTGTGATTTTGCAAGAGGCTCCTATGTATGAGTAAAATGTTCCTAGGAAGACACTTAGAGCAGATTTGCCTGAGCCATGGCAGGGTCAGCAGCACAGGAGTGAGACAAGAAATGGGGTGGTGAGATAATTCAGGCACACTGACTAAGAGGCAGACTCCAGATTTCTCAGGTCTAGTTCCTTTCAAGTGTGCTCAGATAGACCACCCTTGGGGATCACATCTAATTCATCTGGCAGTCTAGTCCTTTCCCCAGGGCCACTGAGGACAGAAATTCAGGCAGGAAAATCTTCCTTTGCCCACCTCGCACCCAGCATACATACACATACACATGTTACTCACTCTTTCATAAACTCAGTATTTCACCTGAGTAGGAATGTGAGATAACAAGATTTGAGACAACTTGGGGAGAGGTCATTTGATGTCATCTCTAAGGACATTGCTCCCTGCTGGAGCAAAGGGAGACTAATGTTCTAAGTGCACACACGTGTCCGTGCATGTGTGTGTGCAGCTCATGTAAAGCACAGAGTTTGCAAATATTCTGATGGCATTATTAGCTTCCTATAATAGAAGTAATTAAGCATCAGAGAGGTTAAGTGACTTGCCTTTGATCAGAGAGAAAAGTTTGGACCTGTAACTTCAACTTTCTGAGCCTCAGTTTTCTCGCCTCTATGATGGGGATGATAATACTGTGCTGGATATTGTAGTTATGGCCTCAATTCTATTCTGCTCCTCCTCCACTGGACTGCAGCTTCCTTTGAAAAAGAGAGTCAGAGTAGTTCTCAACCTTGGGTAGTTATTCCCCAGGGGGATTTGAAAGTGTGTGGGAATAGTCTTGATTGTCACAATGACTGGAGGGGACACTACTGACTTTCAATACAATAGATCCACTCCTGACCATAGACAGAAACCTGATGGGCCCTAGTCAACTAGGATAAGCCTTCTCCTTTGTCAGAATGATGCATGGATATTCTCTTTACCCTTAACAGACTGCCTTCCAAGATGGAATACTGTAACGGAGCCATAGCAACAGTTATAAAGGAACATTAACAAGTGTTATCACTGGTGGTCGAAGAAGGTTTTTCCCTTAGTCACATCCTGCCTGTGTTGTTTCCTCCTGTTTCTGGTGGGTTCATCTTCTCCACTCCCACTGTACTGGAAACTCTCTAAGGGCAGAGGCCCCTCTTTCAATGCTCTTTTATGCCATATAGCATCAACTCCAATGCTTTGTGCATGAAGTATTCTCACTCAATTATTGCTGAGTTCAATTGGATAAATTTTGGGGTTAAGATCTAGCCTAGATATGTGGGCTTAGGAGAGTTTCTAGTTAGTATATGCTCTGCTGGACTGAGATCAGCCAAGGTACAATTGGGCTACATGAATAATTTCTTAGACTCTCAGAGTTGGAGGAGCCCTTAAGGTTATGGGACACCTCACTTTCCCACCTGTGCAGCAGTTCTGGGTACCATTTTTTTAAAGGGTCATAGTGATTTTCAACCAGGGACGGTAAATGACTGCATTTCCCCCAGAGGCATTTGGGAATGTGGTAGGGAACACTGAGGCACTTTGGGTTGTCATATGAGTTGGGGGTGGGCCATGGAATATAAATTATCTCAGAGCACAGGGAAGTCCTGCACCATTGAAGAATTGTCCTGTTTGAAATGCCAATGGCTGTCCCTTTGACAAACACTGTAAAAGTGGAGTGCATTCAAAGATTTACCAAGTAACAGTCACCAATGGACAAATTTTTCATGACACATTTCAATTCAATAGAGAGAGGCACTTTCTCTTTTTCTTCTTGTAGGTTATATTCCCCCCATAAATACTAACACTACAGTGAAACTGAAATGGGACAAATGTATTCAAAGGCCAGAACCTCCAGTCAGTTTTTTAATTCCTATTTATTATAAGCAGATAACCAAGGAATACCAACCTCTGAGAAGAACTTCAAATGAAAGCTAGAGACCAAAACAGTCATATAAACAACTGGAAAAAGCTAACTCAGAGGTGAAAAATATTTTATGCAATGAGAAGAAACATAATAAAATATTATTAATATTTTTAAAGGTATAAAAGATAGCATTTTAACCATTAGGTGAAAATAGGATGCTAGAAAAAGCAATTGATAGGAAAGAAAAAGCTCTTAAAAATTAATAAAATGACCAAAAAAAGTGAATATTTCAATAGAAGGGTTAGAAGGTAATGTTGAAAAAACATTTCAGAAATTAGAATAGAAAGAAATGAGATAGAAAATAGGTGATAAAAAGTAAAGATCAAATAATGAGAGGATCAGTCCAGGATATGTGATTTCTAAATAAATGTCTCCAAAAGAAGGAACAGACAAACTATAGAAAGGAAATCAACAAAGTAATTCAATCACTTTTCCAAGAACTGGAAGACATGAGTTTCCTGACTAAAACTGCCCATCGAGTTCCCTGTTCAATGCAAAAAAAAAATAGACCCACCCCCAAGGCATATCACTGTGAAATTTCAGGACTCTCAAGACAAGGACACAATATTATACTCTTAAAACAGGAATGGGAAACCATAAAAAGGAACATTAAGGTTACAAAATAAATGCTATTAGAAATGAATGAACATGATGGTAATAATGAAAAACTCAAAAAACGGATCAGAAAAGAAAGTTGAGGCATTCTCCTAAAAAGGAGAGTAACATGCAGAAGGGAAAGAGAAATGAAAAAATTAGGATATTAGAGGACCAATCCAGGAGCTGCAATATCTGATTAGCAAGACTTTCAAAAAGAGGGAACAAAAAACCAAGGAGAGGAAATCATCAATAAAATAATTCAAGCAAATTTCTCAGAAGTGAAAGATATTGTGAGTTTCCGGATTTCCTAAAAGGGCCACTGAGGGCCCAGCATATCAGGTGAAAATAGGCCCTTGCCCGGGAACATTACTGTGAAATTTCAGAATGCTAGAGACAAAGGGAAGATCCTTTTTGCCTCGATTACTAGAGGATGTTCTCCACAAAAACAATAAAGGAAACCAAGAAGAGGAAGAGATGAGGAACCCAACTCAGGAGAAAAACATAGGGAATTCCAAGGCTCATAGTGAAGGGAAGTCCCAGGAGGACAGCTCTGCAACAGCATGGAGAGCACTCCAGCCAGGTAGAATGGGGTTGGAGGAGTGGTGGTGTGGGGGGGTTCTATTCAAGAGAGAAAAAGAGACTGGTAGGTTACCTAATGTTGGTGGACCGTATGTCTGTTAGAAGGTATGTCTATTAGAAGATAGGTACAAAGAAAATTAAGCTAATGGGGGAAGGGGCATCAATTAATTTCAGGAAAATTAAGAAGAAAAGAAACAACCATAGTCCGCAACGCTCAACTATGAACTGTGTTTGCCTATACAAGTGATGTAAGCACAGAAGGTTGATTTAATCAAAAAGGGTTAGACCAAAAACCATGCAAGTGAGTATAGAAAATAGGGATAGTTTGTCAATAATAACAATCCAATCACGTTGCAAGGGGCTGGTAAAGTAGAGGGATTGGACTTGTTTTTTGTGTCCCAAGTAGTAAAACTACAACCAGTAGTAGAGATTATCTGAAGGTATGTTTCAGTTTAAGGAAGAACTTCCCCACAATTCAGTGGGAAACCAACTGCTTTGAAAAATAGATGGTCCCATGACTGGGAATAATTAACTGGGCAAACTCTAGGCTGGGAAGGAAATCTAAAGGAATTTCATCCAATCAACCTCAGGATCACTTTTACATCACCCTCTTAAAAAAGGTAGTCTCAAACAATTCAGAGAAAAGAACACACAAGAGGCAGCACACTCTTCTTAAATTTTTAAAAAAATCAAAGTTAGACTGTCATCATTGACAAACTATCCCTACTTCCCACACCCACTTGCATGGTTTTTGGTCTTCTCACATCCTGTTCAACTTCCTCTGCTTACGTTCCACTTCTAAAGAGTGTGTGCACGTTCAGAACAGAATATTCCAACTGTGACCTGTCCCCAGGACACCATCTCCTTCACTGTAAAGCTTAGCAGTTGAGTGGAGACTTGAGAGCCTGAGTCAGTCTGAGTTTAGACCCAGCTTTGACACCTCCTAGCTGTGTGACTTGGAAAGCGTTATATAACCTGGTCTTCAGTTTCCTTGTCTATAAAATGGGGACAATGTCAGCATCTTCCTCGTGGAGTTGTGAAAATGAAACGATGTGATATATACCCAGCACTTAGAACAAAGACTGACATATTGTAGGCGCTCAATGAGTGTGAGCTGTTAACTTTGCCCTTAGAATCATTCCATTAATATGTCCCAAGACACCCATTAGTGGAGAATTCAACCAAACAACAAGTATGTACTGAGTTCCCACTCTGGGCCAGATGGCTGGGAACAAGGAGAGTGAGACCAGCCCCTTGCCTGGAGGAGTCAATAGTCCATCACCGTGTTGATTCATTGAGTTAATTAAGAACTAGTGTTCTTTCCACTTGTCTTATTTTTATATTTTGAAAAAAAATAACATTTTTAAAAATCAATTATTTTATCAAAGGTATACATGCACATCGTTTAGAAAGTTAAATAGTATTAACACGTTTATAACAAAACATAGTGGGTCC